CCTAACATCAAATGCTTGAGACTGTGGTTTTACATTTCTATAAGTTGATCTCTACTTACTTATTAAAAGCTAATATTTATCAAGTCCCTTCTTTCTTTTTTTTTTTTTCTTTTTTTTTTCCGACCATTTATTTATTTTATTGCATTTTAGGTTTTGGGGTACATGTGAAGAACATGCAAAATTGTTGCATAGGAACACACGTGGCAGTGTGATTTGCTGCCTTCCTCCCCATCACCTACATCTGGCATTTCTCCCCTTGCTATCTCTCCCCAGCTCCCCACCCCCCACTGTCCCTCCCCTATTTCCCCCCAACTGACCCCAGTGTGTAGTGCTCCCCTCCCTGTGTCCATGTGTTCTCATTGTTCAACACCCGCCTATGAGTGAGAACATGTGGTGTTTGATCTTCTGCTCTTCTGTCAGTTTGCTGAGAATGATGGTTTCCAGGTTCATCCATGTCCCTACAAAGGACCCAAACTCATCGTTTTTGATGGTTGAATAATATTCCATGGTGTATATGTGCCACATTTTCCCTATCCAGATCTGCTTTGAATTATTTACTTTTCATGGGTTTCAGTTAAATGGAATCATCTCCAGGGCCCTCTCTCGTTTCTTTCTGTTAAATAATGTATAACAATTATTTAATGTAAGCCTCACAATAACCCTGTAAGGTAGGTGTAATTACTACTTATATTACTATCTCTAGAAATCAAAGTTTAGAGGTCAAGAATCTTATCCAAAGGATCAAACCTATAATAAATGCCAGAATCCGGACATGATTCCAACTATCTTTGGTTCCAAAGACCATACTTATAAACAAATTATATGGTCTCCCCCAAAAAGCAAATGAAAGGATTATTTAAACCTTATGTATTGATTGCAAAGCATTTTGGAGATTCTGCTTTCCATTAAATTCTTATGTAATGCCCATAAATTCATCAGAAAGCATATATACAAACAAATCAAGTAAATATAGAAAATCTGTTTCCCAGCATCATTTAGATAAGGGTTTCTCAATCCAAGCACTATTGACATTTTGAACTGGATAGTCTTTTGTTGTGGGTGGATGTTGTCCTGTGTACTGTTGGTTGTTTAGCAGCATCCCTGGTTTCTGCTCACTAAATGACAATGCCGTCCCCTCTCAGCTCTGATAAACAAATATGTCCCCAGATGTTAGCAAATGTCTCCAGTAAGTCAAAGTCACTTCCAGCTGAAAAACTAATTTACATGAAAGTTATCCTGGCAAGGATGACATAATCATGAAAGAAGAACATAACTAAGAACCTGGATAAATCAGCCTTACAAAGCCTCCACCTGAAACGTCCAAATAATGCCAAAAAGAAATGGTAGAAAAAGGCTTGCCTTACTCAGTGTTCACACTGTTATTTGTTTGCATTATCTTGTTTTAAAGGTAGAAATTTCAATTTGAGAAAGACAAATTTAAACTGGAAGTCAAGGTTGATACTGACTTACATTAAATATACATAGTTCTAAGTATCACAAATTACAATAAGTGAATTTGAGGAGAGTATCCTACAATACACTTCTCAAATTCAAAGGCTGCTTTTGATATGAAATGCAAAGTTTATTATAATTTTAACAAGACTACAACAATAACTTTCTACAGTAATTTACGCATTGATTTTTCAAAATTTTGTTTTTAAACAAATGATATGTGCATTATTTACTTCTATATCTTTGAAAAATTCTATATTACTATGTATTAAAACAAATTGACTTTTACAAATATATTTTTCATGATTCTTCCATAAAATGTAATAAATGCAAGAAGATTGCATTATTAAATTGCTCACTAGTATCACTGTGATTTTATGTTTTCATTTTCCTCAGAATACTTATACTCAAAATTTAAAGCACATGGCTTAAACAAGAATTATTGTCAACAACTAATCATTAGGGAATTGTTCTTAGATCTGATATATTTGCAAGACCAATAGAATTATCTATACATAAAATATATTTTTTGCATCTAAGTCTTTCCTTTACATTTCTTCTTTAGTCTGACTGTAGAAGAAGATATTTGAGGCAGCAATTATGTATTGATTTCTGATTACCTTCAAGCATTCACATTTATTTTTAAATATTCTTGAATACATTTGAAAAATAAATTTTGCACACTCCCTTGTAGAGGAAGAAGTTACTGCTGACTCAAAATTAGAATTCAAAAAAAAAAAAATAGAGACATGTGTCTAAGTTTTATGTCAGTATCAAAAGAGATGATCCTAGATTTAAATACCTGCTTTGTCATCTTTGTTTGTACTGTGGGACATTGGACAAGTTATTTAATCTATTTTAGTCTCATGTTTTATTACTAAATTCATAAAATAAAAATAAAAGGCAATCTATAGACTGTTTAACATTAAATGTAGTAACATAGGAAATGCAGAAAACTCAACATCCAAAGGCCTGATAGGATAGGACTAATCTTTTATACACTGTTCTCTGTGAGTCAGATACTTTTATTTTTAAAATTTTATTTTTTTCTTTATTTCTTCTTTAATTAAAAAAAATGGGATACATGTGTGGAATGTGCAGGTTTGTTACATACATCTATATGTACCATGGTGGTTTTCTGCACCTATTGGTGTTCTTTATTTTTATTTGTGCAATTAATTCATCATACTCAATACCATGTACTGCTATAACCCATCCCCCATTTTGAAAATAAGGAAATTGAGGTACATACATTCAAGTAACTTGCCTAAAGTCACACAAGTAGTAAGCCACAAAGCTGAGATTCAAACTCAGGCAGTTTGGAGCCATGGCCTGTAGTTGTAATTATACCACAACTCACTGGAAACCACAATCAAATAATCCCATCATGTTTAGTGTTTAGTCACACCATAAAGCAGCTCGGTGCAAAGAAAACAGGGTAAGTTTTAGTGCCAAACAAATTAAATCTCTCTATTTTTTGAATCTGTACATATACATATGTAATATAAATATAAATATATATATATATATATATATATATATTTCCATTAGTTCTCTTTTACATATGTAGTAAAATATATATGTATGAAATATGTTTCCTTATTTTCAAAATGGGGGTTGGGTTATAGCAGTACATGGCATGGAGTGAGTATAATGAATTGCACAAATAAAAATGAAGTGTATGACCCACAGTGAACACTGCATAACTATGCACTGTTCTTTGACAGTAAAAGAAAAAAGTTACTTTTTACAACAGAAAAGGAAAAACAAATAATGCCTTGTATTGTTGATATGATAATTAAATAAAATAACATGCATACTGCTTAGCATGATACCTGATGTGCTTAATAAATACTAGTTATGAGAGCAGGGTTGAGTGTGAACCAAGACTTTCACCTCATGGTCCTTCGGACAAAAGTCATATATAGTTCAAATATAATTAGGACTGGTAAAATATAGATTTTCATCTCCTTTCTATGAATTTAAAGGAAATGGAAGCAAACCTATGCCTTAATGTTTTTCAGGAACACATTTTAAACAACTAAGATAAAGGAATACCAAGATATTATCTGATTTACAAATAACTGAAAATTCAAAAATCAAAATTAAAGTTTCTTTTCTGGGGTTACATAAATATATCATAAACTAAAAATATTTATTTTGATGCTCCTGTCTTATGTTCCCCTGAGTTTCACTCACTGACTAAAATGACAAGTAAATGATGCTTCAAGACTAGAATTAATATTTCTCTGAATATGAAAAATAGCACATATTTCTAAACTACAGAATCTTTCTGCTTTGTCATAATACATCTTTAGTAAATCCAACCTTTAAACAAGCCATATCAGCTTTACCATATATCATATGTACATCAACATATGTCAAAAGGTAGTATCTAATATTTTATAAAGTTAGATTATACATGATCTACCTATCTAAATTGAGATATACATAAAAATGCCTCATATGTACATATGTAATACAGTAAGAATGTATAAGATAGAATATTTGGATATGTCTGTCTTTATCCCATGAGATAGAAAAACCTTAGATAAAATTGCATACAAATAAGTAAAATATTTTTTATGATTAATTTCATCTCACAATTTCTACCCGTAGTATTACTTACCTTTTACTGGCATTTAATTTTGTTTCTCTAACTAAAATGATCATTCTGTAAAAGACAAGATAGTAAGACTCCTATAAACTATTAAATGGGTTTTAGAAAGAAATAAAATAGAATTATTAAAATGCTTTCGTCACAAAAGCAAGCATCTTTAATGAAAAAAGTTGTTTTATCATGAAACAAAACAATGTCAATAATCAGAGCCAAAACTAAAAATGGCATATAATTAATAAAGTATTCCTAAAGTCTGGATAGTTCGTGCCAGTTGTGAGTGAATTTTTCAATTTTCCCCTGGGTATTTGCCATCATGTCCGTCATGTATACTATAAAGTGATAGTCAAGGCCTGTGTCTATCTATGGAAGTAAAGTGAAAAACTTGCATTATTCAAATACCACCCACCTCTCCCAAATAATCTCAACATATCCTTTCATAAGTGAACATTGAAGAGTTTGGGCTTTTTGTGAGCATAGAGCCCACAGCCAAAACATTGCCGTGTGATAGCACAAACCTCTAGGGGGTGCAATTAAAATATCTGGATTGTATATTTTATCATGTGGAGTGTAAATGACTAGGGAAAGCTTTTTCTCTTAAAAGAAGCTGTTATTTAGGAAGTGTTATGCACATTTTTCTCCTAAGAAACCTTGAAAGATCTGTCCAGAGTGCTGACGAGGTTTCAGCGGGAGAAGGCTGGAAATTTGATGGAACGCACCCTACTCACTCAATGAGTTCAGAAAGCAGTATTTTCAAGTACCAAACCAATTGCCGTTTTAAATGAAAATAAACAAGCACAAAAGACAGAAATAGACACAACTGATTCTTAAATGTGTAATTACATTGAGGTAATTGACAAATTAAAGGAGAAAACTCCCTGCTCTCCATAAAGAAAACAGCAAGAAGCACACCTAGCAAGAGGTAGCATACCTGAACACTCCATAGCTGACAGTAGAATCTCATGCAACTAGGGCTTCCACAGAAAACCCTGGCTTATGCCCCAATGGAGGAAGGGCTGCACGTAGTCCCGGTCAACGCACCTTTGGCTGCTTCAAACGGCCAGTGGCCAGCATTAGAGACACAAATTCGCTCTAGCTTTGTCTTGAGAAACTCAGAACAATAAAATACCATGTAGGGAATGGAGAAGAAGGTGGAAAGGAGTTGCCTTCTCACTGATCTGTATCAATTTCTTATTGAAAAGTAAAGTATTGGAGAACCTATCTGCCTGGCTACTCGATGTCCAGCTAAGGCAGCGTCAAGATTAGGTCTAAATCAGCAAAGACGCTTGTTATCCCCTCCTAAATTTCCGTTCCACACAGCAACTGCTCTGAAGGGAAATGAGGGCAGCTGTAAATTCGAGCACAGGTGAAAGAGCCCTCCAGGCGGACCCGTCGCTTCCCTCGAGAGGTCCTAATGCAGGTTAGGCTCCGGCCACCGGCCAGCCTTCGCACTCATGGGCCTGCCCTGGGTTTTCTTCCCTAAGTCGCTGCAGCCTGGGCTCCCTCCTTGGCATGCCGCTCACGCTGCCGCCTTGGGGTAACTAGCAGGCTTTGTGTCCGAGGGGAAAGATAAATCCATGGGAGAGGAAAGAGCGGGAGGGCTCCGGCTGGTGTTCAAAGAGAGGCAACAGAGCCTGAGTGAAAGAGATATGCTTTCAGCACCACCCGCTGTCCCCCCTCCTCCTGCAGCAGGCGCCACGCGCGGCCGCTAACCGGTCTATTGAAAAGCAATTCTCCGTCCTCTTTCCCTCTCCACCTTTGCTTCTCACAATTCTGAGCCCTCCGGTGGTTTGCGGGAGCACACTCTGCGTTCGAAACCACGCGCACCTGGTCTTAGAGAGCGGGAACTCGGATCCGAAGGCATGCAGAATCCCCTTTTCAACCCTTGCAGTTTTTCCCTGCTTCACCCCATTGCTCGCGCCTTTTCCCCCAAGAGGTTTAATGAAGGCTGCTTGCAAATGGAGCAGACTGGCATCTTGCATCGGCTTTGGCCACCCCCGCTCCACCCGTGTCCCCCTCCCCCAAACCAAACTATGAGCTACTCAGCAAGCTAATAGATCCTCAATCCTTCTCTGGCCAGGGGACACTTGGGCACACAGACACTTAGCAAGCTTACCCCCCTGTTGGCTGCGCAGCGAGCAGTGAGACTCGGTCTAGCTAGCCCCCCGAAAAGTTGGGCCACGGGGATCAGCGGGGCAGAGCCGGCCTCTCCAGTCCCCGGCTTCCCCCCCAAGATGATCTCAAGCTCATCCCCTCCACTCAGCGTGCGCAGAACAGCCGAGCTGAGGGCGGCGTGTGCAGCAATCTCCCCGCTACTAAGAAAGGGGGGAAGGGGGGAAGGGGAGAGAGCGGAGGAGGGAGGGGTGGTAGTTTGTATTTATAGAGAACAGAGTTCTTTGCGCAACTTTTTGGTGCCACCAAGTGGCACAGTGAGTTCCTTTAGGAACACAGACTCCTGGGTGAATCTGGATGGGTAGGCCAGCTCTGCAAACAGATGCTCACATGGCAAGGGAGCTGGAGGCACTCCCAGGACTTAGTTTTCACATGTTTACCATCATATCTCAGCACCTGTAATACAAATTCCTAAATTCTAAGAATAATTCTGTACTGCGTGAGAAAGGGCACCTGTGCCTTCCTCAGACAGGTGGAAGAAGTGTCAAGGACATGGTAGGTCCCAGTTGTCTCCTAGGAGTATAGACATCCTTGTCTCAGGAGGAATATCCATTATCTTCTTCTTCCTAACCCTCTGCCCAGATTACACTGCATTCATATTTTACTCTAAAACCTTCTTCTTGCCACCCTGACTGCCTAATCTTTAAACTGAATTGGCACTTATTTTCTTTGCCATCAAACCTTCTTCCTCAATGCTAACCTTAATAATAACATATGACTTCATGACTTTAGGCTCTCTCTGGATCTGAACCTTTCTAAACAGCTCTCAGAACTCCAATTCATTGAGATGCAGGCTGAATGTCTGATTTTCCTCACTCATTTCCACAGACCTCTCAGCTTGCATTATCCCCACAGCGCAGTCAGGATCTTGCCAACTCCCTTTAATACACTGAGGAAGAATCCCCTAAAGCTTTCTTTAACCACATTTTATGAGTGTTCTTACTTCTTAGTATGCAGATCCTCAAACACATACATAGACACTACTGCATGGGCACTTCATGTCCCCAAATGCAGAAGAACCTCTACATTTTTCAGTAAAGAAACTGAGTACATGAAGGTTAAGGGGCTTGTTCAAGGTCACATTTCTCTACAGACCAGCCCAGGACTACCTAGCATAGAACTGAATGAACACAGTGATGCCAAACCTGATCCACCTGTTCTTGTTCTTTCCACTACCTTACTCAGCCTATTCAGTCATTTTCAGCTCCATTCTCTTCCCTCTCTCTCTTCATTTCTCTCTCTCTCTTTCTCTCTCTCTGTGTATGTGTGTGTGTTTGGGGGGGGTGTGGGCGGGGGTGACAGAGATCTTCCTCTGCCAAAGTTCCATAAAGGAACCAACAGTAAACATGTCTTCCTAGCTCCACTGGGAGTACATGAACTTGAGTTTATAGGTCCAGAGCTGCAGGTGTACCATCTTTACATGACCCACAGTTCTAGAAAAACCTCTCCCCTCTAGTACTGTAGTCCTTTTAGAAATGGAACACTGACATTCACACCCAATTGGGTCCTTTCTTTGCTGCCTCTTGTTGGGGTGAAGCACCAGCAAGTGATCTTATTAGCTCCCCCAAACATCTAATGGGGCTCAAAGGTAGAGGAGCCTCTCTCCCTTGCTAAATGCATGCCTTCCATGCACTTGTGTCGGTATGACAGACACACACACAGGCACACACACACAGATCCAAACGTATCCTTTGGCTCAGATCTTTATTTTTTCCTCCTCTGATTTTTTTAGTTCGTTTTCTATGGAAACGAGCCCACTTAAATCCCTCACTTATGCAAATAAAAGCAAAATGATCTTCATAAACCTCCCATTGGAGCGATGCCGCGGTAGCCCAGGCTCCCGACTTAAATTTATGTCTGATTCACACAGCACACGTCCTTGCAGGGTGACTTTTTTAAACTTGCAGGACCTCGGAGCGTTCCTGGCTCCACCAGTCCTCCACCTGCCCACCACCTGCCATCCTGGGTCTCTTAGCCCCAGCTCCCGCCCCTTGCCTGATTGCTCTCCATCCCTGCGCTGGGGGAGGGGCTCCAGCGGCATCCTATATCCGTGGTAACTATAGCCAAGAGAAAGAAAAAGGCGCTGTGCTTACCAGGTGCGCGCCCTGAGCCTTGCGCCCCCAGCCAGCCGCTCCTCGAGGGCTTCCTGCGCTCCCGTAGCGGCCTTGGCTGCAGCTGGAGCGCTAGTGTCGGCGATGGAGGCAGCGGTGACAGCAGGCAGAACGGCTGCGGGGCCCGCGGCGGTGGCGCTCGCTCTCTCGCGCCAGCGCCGGGAGCACGTGCCGCGCTCGGGCAGACGCAGCTGGAAGCGCAGCGCTGGGCTGGCTTCTACTCCTGCAGCGAGCGGCGGGGGTTGGCAGAACGGCGAGGGCAAAGACTCAGTGGCTGAATAAGAGTCTTGAAGGCTCGTCGTTTCGGGGTTCAAGCGAGGGTAGCCTTGGGCTCCCTCTCCTGCTCCTCACATTCCCTCCGAGAGCCATGGAAGGAGGAAAGCTGTGCGGGGGAGGCGTGGGTGGTGTGTCACTCAGAAGCTGGGGGAGCAGGTAGATAATAAGGTTCTTTTTGACTATGGCACTTAAACCCCTGACAATGATTGGGAGAAGGAGCATCACTGCTGGAGGGTAGAGAGAGGTAGGAAGTCAGGGAACCCCGAGATGATTCAGAAGTGTGAGTGGTTAGAAAGAACGGCCTCTAATGATGTTACTTATGAATAATACCATTTTACATTTGTCTGCACTTCTTACAAACGATTCTTTCTACATCCATTAAAATTTCTTCTTCGTTGGCAGCTGAATGTCTTTTACTTTCTCAAATGACTTTTCTTCCCTTCCTTCACCACCCCCATAACTGCCCAGAATTGTCAGATATGCTGAGGTTATCTTTAAATACAAAAAAAAAAAAAAAAACACTTCATTTCTGCCTCTGAAAAGGAGATTGGTATAAATTACTTGTGTGGCTTAATTTAAAGAAAAGAAAGACTTTGCGGTAATATGATTATTATTATTAACATTGTATTTCCCTAGCTGAATTTTAGGAACCAAGTGCTTGCAGCAGCTGGTTGAAAGATTACAAGATGAATGCACTAGCCAAGGGGACTGGTGCTGATGCATTCATTAACAATGCTCGTTAGATTTCTCAACAGACTGTTGTCAATAAGGTAAGTTACTGTTTGATAGCTTCAGGATTTAACAAGAAAAAGAAAGAGATGTATCTACCACATCCTGTTGAGTTTTACAATGGTATCTTTCTTCTTGCATTTTCATATCTACTGATGGGATCGTTATGTTTTGTAGTTCTTTGATTGCAATTCACAAAACAAGTTTTAGAACTTTAGAAAGAGGCCAGGAAAGCTGTGAGAGATCTTCTTTAATTTAAAAAAAAAAAAAAAAAGGAATAAAGATGGCATAGAGGAGAAAATAGAAAGATAGCATAGGTGAGAAAATACAAAAAAAAATGGAGTTTATAGGAGAATGGAGCGTAACATGACTAGATGATTCTGGTGATGCGATTAAGTCTAATGAATAAAGTGATTTGTTTATCCAACTGTCTAAGGAATTAACAATAAAGATGAGGTCAAATTTGAGTCCTTGTTTGAGACACTTAGCTTTGAATGAGCATAGGGCACCCCAAGTTTCTATTTTTCTTCATCAGTTGGAGCTGCATCAAAATACATTAGTGAATGGGAAAGGAGTTCTCGTGTTGGTCACTCAATCACTTCAATTCTTCAATTTCCTACACATATTTCCTTCTCTTCTGTCTCCTAGTGTTATGAAGAGAGTGGGATGAGATAAGACATGTCAAAGTGTGTCAAAAAATGACAAAGCACTCCATAAATGTAATATCTGCTTACCAAGACATACCCACTTCTTATGCTCTAAAGACAAGAAGCTGAAGGACATTCTCTATGTTTAACAATAGCAATATTTTCAGATGAGAAGGAAAACATGATAATATAATCTTAAAATTGTTCAGTGACATTTTAAAATGTAGCTTTGTCTCATAATTGTAAAGTGCTGAATTAGGCAAAATTAAAAGGAATATAGGAGTAATGTTTTAAGTTCCAAAAGTAAGTCCTGATTAAAATGGCTCACGGGTGTAATTTTTGCCTTAGGATGAGCTTTTAATGAACAAAATATTTTAATTCTTATATAGAACGGTAGAAAAAAAAGAATGGAAAGCTCATTCATTCTCAGAATTGATCAAGCTTAAAGCCTGAAATCTTCATTCATCCCTGTCTTACACATGAGAATTTGTCATGAAATCCTGTTAGCTCTACCTTTAAAATATATCCTTGAATCTTACCACTTCTAAACACCTTCAAAGATACCATGTTGAATCAATCGATTATCATCTTTTACCGGCCATACAGAAATGGATTCCAAGCTAGTACAGGCTATATTCAGCACAGCATCCAGAGCAATCCTTTAAAGAAGTGACCTTAAATTGAAGCCCTCCAGTAACTTCTGATTTCACTTGGAGTAAAAGCCTAAGTCCTCTAAAAAAATATTTAGAATATTTAAATGAATATTTATGAAAATAGAGCTACACCTGTTATATGCTGCCCTTCATTGTCCAAGTTGGCAACATTGATGGTAAGTCATGTTAATGCTTGCAGGAGGTCTGAAAGACTACTGAGTGACAGCACCTTTTCCTAATATGGGCACATCTACCCACCTCTTACATTGTATTTTTGCATTTGTGATTCTCAAACTTAGCTAGCTCATGTTCTAGACTTCAAGAGGTTATAGAAATTCTAAATGTTTTGCAAATATGTGGTTATCTGAACTCATTAAAGGTTACAAGTGGCTTAAAATGTAATTTCCGAAAGAATGTTTTTA